CAGGAGGAAGTCTCAAAGCTCTTCACAGTGCTGGATAGGCACCCAAGCTAGGGGTGGGTGCCCAGAGGGCGTAGGGTGGGGTGGGAAGGAGAAAAATAACCAAAAGTATGGTCAATAAAAGTATTTTTTGAGATATGCCTTGAAAGAGGGGAAGGAGGGAGTCAATGAGTCAGAGACTCTGGAGTGAAATTTCAGAGAACGAGTGCAGAATGGCGGGGGCATGAAGCAGGCAAGTGTTCGCTGAGAAAAGGGAGTGGCCGGGACAGTAAGCTACAATACCATTTTGTCTTAAATTTGGGCAGAATTCTGAAATATTCTTAACTTTGGGCCTTAATCTGGAAGCCTCTATTTTGCAACGGTGGAAAAACAGCTTCCTAGTTAAGGCCGAATTTAAGAATTTTTCACAATTCCTCCTGATCTTAAATTTTTAAATCAAATGATCTTATAGGCGAAGACAAGGAGAAAATTCAGGTCTTGTGGTTACAAACCAGAAGTGTCAGACAGTCAGAATCGTTGCCATTTGTTTCCTTAAACCTTGATACGTACAAGCGGTTTCTGTGATCTGAAATGTCCTTTTACAATGCGATTACGCTTTTGATATCAAACAGTAACAATAACACGAGAACTGGTGAGTACAGAGACACAATGATCAGCTTAACAAAGTGAGATGTGCTACTTGTGCCTTGCCGTTATCCCACTCTCTTAAAGCCTCGGGTTGTCCAACATGGATCACTGTTATGGAAACCAATGGAAAACCATACTCACATTTAACACATCATCTCCAGGGGACACTTTGAACTTTGAAGACAGAGAGTTTCTACACTATGAAGGATCGGTATTCCATAAATTCCACAAAACGGCAAACATTAACAAAAATATATGGTTTAAAGGAAATTCATTTCAAACGTTTTGTTTATTTTTATGGTACAAAGTAAAAGTGACAGATCTGAAGCTGTTTAGAAATACACAAAGTGCAGCTTAACTGACCATACAGATATTGCTCTAGATAAAGTACAGTATTTTCAGTCTATAAAAGGTAAGCAACCTGTGCAGGTAAGTCAGCTTTGGTTTAAGTGTCTGAACAGTAAGGATCTTGACCTGGTGAGCTTGGTCTCTGGGTCCGGTTCTTAACCTCCACTCCTCTCGCAGCTTCAGCAAGACAATCCTCTTACTGCCAGGTAACAGCAGCATGTTCCCTTTGGTAGGATCCATACCGAGATTCTCTGCAGCAATTTAACAAGTGACCCTGGTGACAATTTTATAGCTGCTAGCAAAACGTTCATTTGCGAATGAATTAATGGACAATTGTGCTGCACGTACAGTTTTTTTTCTGGATTTATAAACAAGCAAAACACATGACTTTCACATTCAGCTGAGAACAAAGGGAAGCGAGTACAAACTTCAACCCAAACAGATTCACTCAATTGATCAAAGTCTAACAAGGAAATTAGTGGTTTTGAATGTTGTATTTTAGGGTTCTAGAAGTAGACTGTTGAGGTAAAGCATTTATAAAGAGATTTAAAAAGTAACAGTTTAACATTGTGAGATTGTCTGTAATATCAAGCCACATCTATACAATGTGCATATACCTATACCCATATACTCTGAGCTTTGGTCCAGCATTGATAAGATGAGCAAAGGCATTTTAATTCTATATTTGGTTACAGCTTGAGTTACATAAGCCTCTACTTATCTTCCTCAGTTCCATTCAGTATATCTCATTTCCGATAATGCAATGAAAATGAGCCACGAATGAGTTAAACCTTTTAAACAATTTGATTCTTTCGTTCTTTGCTTGTAGCTATGTTAAACAAAGCCGCTGAAGAGGACGGAAGTACATTTGCTACTGGAAAAGGAAAACAAATAGGGAATTAATGTGACACACATAATGAATATATACCAGCAACTACATGGACTGCAGTATCTTTCTTGTTGGCCAGTGGCACCGAAACCTTTCATTAACAATTGGTTTCATTTCCCTCAAATATATTTCTACAGCATGTCTATGACGTGTGTTACCAGAAGGAAAAAGGTCTGACAAATCTAAGCAAGGAATTATCACCAGGCATGTGACTCGATCCAAAATAATCATTTTGGTCACATTGACAATGAAAAGCCTGCCTTATGACATAATTACGTAACAAAGGATGTACATTAACAACATTAACCATGACTTTGGAGAGGGCAGTTCTTGATCACTAAAGCCTGAGGTGCTCATTTGGTAATGAGACTCACAGGCTACTACTGAGCAGAGTGCCTGAGTAAAGTACTATTCTTGTTAACAGTCTCAGCACTGGATCTGAGCTTTAAAAGTTGGGGAGTTTTCTCTTTGAAAGCACCTGCACAGTGATGGAGCTACTTGGTGGGACTCTGACAGACTGCTGTCGTGTCACTCAGACATGGCTAAACTACAGGCTGGTCAAATTCCGCCCCCTCCTCCTGCATAGGAACGAATGCCCACTGCTTAACTAACTGGACACAGTTAAATTAATCAGTTACGGTTTCATTCATGCCAAACTAGAATAATTACTTGGTCAAAATTGAATATAATATTAATCGGCTGGATCGTGCAAAAATAAGTGCTCCGAATAAGACGTTCCATTGAAGTATAAGAAACAGCGCACAGACTCTGCATGTGTCAAAGGTCAAATGGGTGGAACTACTTCCTTGTATGTGAGTTCTAACTTTGAATAAAGATTTTTTTCAGAAAGGTTTGACACGTACAGTATTCTCACAAACTTGGGGAAAAGTACATTATTCAGAGCCGGGTCTTGCATTTCTGGTTGCGTGACCTTGGATTAATAGCAGTCTGAGACTGTGTAAGCAGAAATAAGAAAGGCAGCTGCTCAGTAAACAGAGTTATGATTTATTATCAACTCTGTTGAGTTATGAACTACTAATCTCTGGTCCATCACCTGGACCAGGTTGTTGTTTGGATTCTGACTGGGATCGAATTCTCCCTGTTTCACCAGATTGGAGTGTGCACTGATGATTCTTTCAAATTAAGCTCCATTTTGAGAATATATAATAAAAAAGAATCATGTCACTCTGAGAAAGATTGATGATATCTTGTAATTTGTCCCGTAGATGCAGCCAATATTCCTGCAGCACGTCTCAGACTGGAAGCTGAGACAATCAAATGCCTGCCTGAAAATTAGGTTTCGTAACTGAGTATGAACTGGCTCTTTAAAGAGTAACCATAAATAACTATCGTCCCTTCCTTCCTCGGCACTTGACTGTGTGAACCATCGTGACAAAAGAAAAACGCAAAGGAGTTTTGAAAGTACTGGAAATGCATTGGTTAGCACCGAAACCTATTCATGCAATGGGAGGCAATCGATCCTTTTGTGTTCTTCATAGAATCAGGGAACGTTACAGCACAGAAACATTCGGACCATCACGTCTACTCTGGTGTTTTTCCCCACACAAGTCACTGAATCCCACACTCCTGCTCACTCGCCATATCCTTTATATTCATTTTTGAGCATCCATCCAATTCCCTATTGCAATAATTTGTGGCCTCTGCTCCAACATGGGTTTGTGGCAGGGAATTCCATATTCCAACTACCCTCTGTGTAAAGATTATTTTTCTAACCTCCCCTTAATTCTCCTTTTGATTATCTTACATTACTGCTGTCTTGTCCCTAGCTCATATCTAACCTGTTCTTAAAATAATAGGATTAAGTACAACTTTACGACTTTAACAATATTTAACATGGATTATTCTGGCCAGCAAAATAGACACTGCATCCAAAATGTACTTTAAAGAAGACATCACTTCTCATTGTATTTGACGTGTGTGTGTGTCTGTGTGTGTGTGCGTGTGTGGGGGAGTGATTGTGTAAGTGTTTGTGGGTGTATTTGGGGACTGGCTGAATTTGTGTGTTGGTTAGGAAAGGGAAAATTCCTAAATAATCTGTGATCTGATGTTTGGGAAAATCAACCGGAGTTGTAAATAAAACCCAGTTCCCATTTACAATCTGCACAGTGCTGTAGCTCTGTGTGTCAGCATACGCACTGATCTGAACGCTGGTTCTGAATAAGTAAGATCTGACAGTAAAAAGAGTCCTTGATGTGGTCATGACCCAATCCTAATCTTTCATTTAACCTCTTTCATTTTTTTTCTCTTAACCAGTATGGTATTGAAATTCTTTGGCTAACAGGCTTTGGAAAAAATTGCTTTGCACACAAAATTCACATTGATGCTGCATTACACAAACAATTGAGGTTGCGGTACAACCCTGCTAAATAAAACCTCACCATGTTCGTGGCCATTTCTGTAATGCATGGGAAGCCAGTCTTATATTACTGACCACCTGCACAATTACCCTTTGTTTTTGTACCACTAAAATACCTGCTGCACAGTGCAATTTAAAACCTATCACTGCAACTGTCTGCAACCGCCAATTACTTCGAAAATTGTTGGCACACGAACATTTCTGGTCTTACAATAGCACATAAGAGAGACAAAATGACTACTTTTGTAATGCCTTCTACAGTTGTGCTAACCCCCAACATGAGAAATTCATACATTTTCTGTAATTACAAATGTAAAAACTTTAAACACAATTTACACTCAAAAACAGTAGGCTAATAATTGAACTCTGTTATTTGTTTCTGACTTTGGTTAATAGGTTTAGTATCAATTCAGCACTTTGTACCTGACGGTAACAGGCATCCCTTCAGACGATGTCCTCATACGAATACAGAGCTCTCTGTATCTCATGGAAGGTTTCTTTGTCAAATATTTTCACATATTTTACAGTACAAGAAATGTTTATTTGGTTCAGTTTCAGTCCGTTAAAAGACTGTTGTTTTTTTTGTTTGTTTGTTAAAACTATTTCTACGGCACAATTAAGTGTTGTGTTGTCTTTCTTTCCCCCCCAAAATAACAGACCCGACTGCCAGCCTTGAAATTGCTCTGTCCGCACAGCAAATATCCAGTCTTTTACTCGCTTCTCCCAAGAATTTCAGCTTCAGCACTAAGCAACGGATCTCTTTTATGAGGCTTCGTCCAAGGAGTCTGTGAGTGGTTCCATTGAGCCTGCTGTTGAAGGCTCGTGTTGTTTTATGCGTTTGATTGTGTTTTTCAAGGCTTGCCTCTTGTTGCAGAACCAAACTCGCACCACCTCACGGTCATAGTTTAGTTTTTCAGCGATTTCCGTCATTTCTTGGCCTGATGGGTGCGTATTCTTTTCAAAGTGAGCATTTAAGATCTCCAGGGCCTGTGGGGTGAAAGAGGTCCGTCGCTTGCGCTTTTTGGAAGGTTCACTGCCGATAAACTCAGTTAGATTCTGCATTCCTGCTCGGTGGCGGGCCTCAGCCTCGGCCATCCACCGCTCAAGAACGGGCTTAATCTTCTGGGCACTTTTAGGGGTGATGTCCAGCTTTTCGAACCTGGCAGGATACAAAAGGCCAGGGTTCAGTTTGGCTGTCAGACTGCTAGCTATAGAGCTCTCTTGGGCTTCCTGTGGTAGGAAAAAGTGGCTTCTCAGGATGGTGTGTCTGAGGAAAGTTGAGAAAGAAGAGTCTTACTCTGATGCTCTGCCAGGGTGGGAATCTACTGATTGACTGATTCACCGGCAGAGGCATTTCGAACTGTCACTGCTATTTCACAGGAAGACTGTCTACTAGCAAGAATCAATCTTCAAATACAATTAAATAATAGCATTGTTTTACTTATGTCTATGCTTCCAAATAACATACGTTGCAATATTGTTAACGGAAAAGTAACAAATCATTCACACAAGTCTTCCATTTACCAGCATATCTTCTATTACCAAACACCATTCCAGTCTCCAACCACACAGTCAGAGGTAGATATTCCACCTGTATCCAGAGCTATTTTATATTAGCATTTTAAAGTGTGCAAATATTGGACACTTCTTACCTTTAGCCTTGATTTTGAAGCCTGAATAGAAAAGTATCCTTCAAAATTCAGATTAAAGTTGAGATTTCTTTCAAAGGACTGCTTTCAAAATTAAAGCTAAATTTAAGAGTTCTATAGAAAATTGGCTCAAAATTGAGGCTGCATTTGATAATTCCATTAAAAAAAAGGCTTCAAAATTAAGATTAAATTTAAGAATTGTCCAAACAGGGTCTAAAATGCTGAGAAAAAAATACCTAAGTCTAGATGTAGGTGGAATTTCTCCCCGTTATAAACAGTGATGAGTGCTTTAAGTTTGTTCTCTTAAATGTACAACAGAACTTTGCTTCAAATGAGGTTTTTTTTTGGAATAAAAATGCGGCTGGTGAGGGCTTGGGACACAATGGCACGATGGGCTTGGGAAACAAAGAGTAACAGACCTGACTGTGGTGAATCAGTTCTCTTACTTTGCCTTTTGGTACCCAAGATGTGGTAACATTTGTACCAAAAATAATCAGTAAAGGGAGCATTGGTGTTGGAACCATAAATAACTGTAGTATTCTGAACAGCTGGCCGGCTGACACTGCTGCCTGCATTAGACTATAGCATCAGCAAATCTGTGCCATCCACACTTTAGCATTGCGGTGGACAGAAACTGCCCGATTCCTTTTTACAGATGGTTACTGTAAATTCCCCTTTGACAAATTACACAGAATAGATTTAATTGTCTTCTACAAGGTGAGGAAACAGAAATTAAAATACTGTGGATTTAGCAAAATACTGAAGTATACGTTTCCTTAATAACATAAAATTCCTTAATACCTGTATTGATGTAGCAATAAGGTTGGGCCAGATTTCCCATTGGGGACCAGCAGTTTTAATTTGCTTGTTCAATCTAAAAAAACAATCATTTTCTAACCACTTGTTTTAAAATCAACGACTTTAATCTGCAAGATTAATTGCTTTAATTCTATCACCAATCTCACTATTGCAAACTGGGAAGGCTCTACACATAGGGTATTTGGATATGGATAGAGCTATATAGATCAGGCTTCAATACTTGGTGAATACTATAATTGCTGAGATATGAGCAGCGGGAAAGCTTGCAGAACAGCAATATCGATGGTAAGCTATGCGGTTTTAGTTGGTTCAACTCCAGTAGTACCCCAAAGCGCACTCTGGGGTCCCCAAGCCTTGGCTCTTGTCGACCTGCGCCTAATACTTTCTGGAATTAGGTAAGCAGGAAGCGTCCCTCCAGTGAGAAAATGCGCATTCCATTCCAACAATCTAGCTTTGGGATTTCCATGTGTAGGTGAGATGCATGGAAATCCCAGTTTGGTTTGGATACTCTGAAGCATGGTGATGGGTTAGACACCTGGTTGACCAAAAAAAGACATGAGCAACTTTGTTACAAACTCTTAACAAGAAGTTTCATAACAAGAAGCAACTGAATATTTACAGTAGACATAGAATCGGAGAGAGATTCACTGGCACGTGTAATATTTCAGTGAATAGCAACAATAAAATGTATGAACTCGTTTGAAGTAATCACCAATCGCCTACTGCTCTTGTGATCCTATAGTAATAGGAATCCTTACATTTGATATATCGCCTTATCAGGTCTTCAAGACATCTCAAAGCACTTCACAGAATAGACCGTAATGTAAATTGACTGTATATTTTGTTTGTGGGTGAAACACGACAGCCAATTGTGCACATCAGTGAACCACTAAAAGTCGTGGATTGAATGACCAAGTTCACCACCATCTTCACCACCACCATTAACCATCCTCTATATAAGTGACTTGCTGGTGGTCTGCACTCCTGACTTATTCCACTCCCCAAGAGTGAACACATCTATATCAGCATCAATTTGTGGGATGGCTGGGTCTGTTCCAATAACATTGCAGTTGATATCGCTGTTGCTCATACAACGCAAGCCATGCACGAAGGTGACTTATGACTACAATAGTATATAATTATACACACACTAAATTCTGCTCTGCATTACAGACTAGTGAACCAGAAATGAATTGCCAAAGTCTCTTGCGGTCTTTGTGGGCCATTTCTACCAGTGTGTTGAAAGCATCAAACAGCTCAGTCAGTTTAGAGAAAAATAGAGACAGCCAGGAATTCACGTATAATGACTGAACTCCTCTATTTTCACGTCAGAGCACCCAGGCACACTCAAGCACCTGCTTACTTCTAAAAAAAAATCATATTAACACAGGAGAGCTTGCCACTCTCGGGAAAGGAATGAAGTAATGAAGAACAGATTTCACTTTACAGACAGCGCACAAAGTCTGCAATATTTTTTGGTCAGCCGGGTGTCTGACGCATGCTGAAACTCATCACCATACTTCAGTCTCCAAATCAGTCTGAGAGTTCCGTCTATGAATGCTACATATGCGTGGAAATTTCCCAGTGTCTGGAATGGAATGCGCACATTCCTCTGCTAGGAGGGATATATTCTGTTAATTGCAGAAAGTATTAGGCACAGGTTGGTAGGAATCCCAGAGGGTGCCTTGGGGTACTAATGGAATTTAACCAGTTAAATACTCATAATAATAATAATAATTCATGTATCTGATATAGCATTTTATCACGTCACTAAGACATTTCAAAGCACTTCACAGAATATACCGTGAAGTGAATTGACTGCATATTTCGTGGGTGAAACATGGCAGCCAATTGTGCACAGCAGCGTTCCACAAACAGTCATGCACTGAGTGTTCTATTTATTTTGAAGAGATTATTACCACCAGAAAGCAATCCGCCAATCGACTAACAACCGAGTTCCTGGTTGGTAAACAGGTGTGTAGAATAAGGAAACTAAGGCAATCGAACCTGGGTCCTCTCGCTTGTGAGGCGAGTGCTCTAACCGACACGCTACAGAACTCCATTCATAGTCTGAGGTTTGTAGATATCATCTGGGCTGGTAGTACTGCAATACATTGGGCGGTACTGCAGAGCCAGGCCCATGGATGGGATGCGGATATTCCAGAATCAGGCCGTCTGAGAAATTGCCATGTCGGAAGTCAAATCATCTCTTACTTTCAAACATACCAAGGTAGAAGGGCAAATGGGCGATTAGGCTATGAAGGGCAATTTTCAGACCAGTTACCAGGAAGTATTACTTTACACAAAGGGCAGTTAACGACTGGAACTGTTTACCAGGAAGGGTTGTTGAGGCCAGGGCACAGGATTCATTTAAGATTACCGGCTGACCNAAAAATATTGCAGACTTTGTGCGCTGTCTGTAAAGTGAAATCTGTTCTTCATTACTTCATTCCTTTCCCGAGAGTGGCAAGCTCTCCTGTGTTAATATGATTTTTTTTTAGAAGTAAGCAGGTGCTTGAGTGTGCCTGGGTGCTCTGACGTGAAAATAGAGGAGTTCAGTCATTATACGTGAATTCTTGGGGAGAGCGCGGAGAAGTGGGATTGATTTGGATAGCTCTTTTCAAAGAGCCAGCACAAACACGATGGGCCAAATGACCTCCTTCTGTGCTGTATAATTTTATGATTCTATGAGAATGCTTGATGCTGTGATGGAAAGATGGTAGTGTGGGTATTCTAGAAGGATGAAATTAAATAAAGAAACTAAGGTACAACGGGGCAAGAAGAAAAGGTGGAAACAATCTGAGATAATCTAATAAACTGGCAGAACAGGCAAAATGGGCTCCTCCTGCAACTATTTCCTGAATCGGCCAAAAGGCGTCCTTCATTTGAACACCTCTCATGATCTTTCTATCCTGTGACTCACTGATTGGGAATGTGACAGAGTGGAAAGAGCTATGGAGCATCCGTGGAAAAACAGTAGCATTTAAATAGGAAAACAAAGGCAATACTGTCGCTGTAGCAAGGTAATGAGCCACGCTGCTCAGCAAGACGTATCAGCTGCCACTGGTAGCATCTGCACTGCCCAGTTCACGGGTAACATCTCTGCATATTATTCCGTTGATGCAGCAAACACACCAACTTCAGTGCTTGAGTTAGAGCCAAGTATCACAGGGCACTGGCATTGCTTATGGGATCCGTGGGTGAAAACATTATTGGGTTCAATATTCCACACAGTTTACAAAGCCTGAATAGTAAAGTGCTCCTAAAGTGAATGATTGTCCCAATTCATTCTTGGTTCGTTTCCCTTCAAACTCAACTATTTCATGTGAGCTGAAATAAATGCATTCCCTCTCTGGCATTTATTAACCTACATTAAAATGTCCAAATAAGTGCAGTTTGTTGGACTGTGTTTAATATAGGTTGGCACTGGTGGTTAATTTCTGCTCCAGCTCTCAGCATAAATGAGCAATTGCACTTATAACACAACATTCGAGTGCAGTCTTTGGGTCTAATGCTGACACTCTGAGTTTCTTCGACACATTTATTTTATAGGAGAGCTCTTTGGCATTCTTGCACCGTTTTATTAGTGCAGTTGATAATAATCCTTGGATTTGATATAGTGCCTTATCAGGTCTTCGAGACATCTCAAAAGCGCTTCACAGAATATATTGTAAAGCAAATTACTGTATCGTTTGTGGGCAAAATTGTGCACAGCATTATCTCACAAACAATCGTGGATTGAGTGTCCAAATTCTTCTTATTATTTTTACTCCATTTTTATCAGAGTGTTGGAGGGATG